TGCTGCTGCTGTGGTAGCTGTTGCTGCTGCTGCTGTGGTAGCTGCTGCTTCTGCTGCTGTTGTCCCTGTTGTTGCTGTTGCTGCTGCTGTGGTAGCTGTTGCTGCTGCTGTGGTAGCTGTTGCTGCTGCTTCTGCTGCTGCTGTGGTAGTTGCTGCTGCTGCTGCTGTGGTGGCTGTTGCTGCTGCTGTGGTAGCTGTTGCTGCGGCTGTTGTTGCTGTTGCTGCTGCTGCTGTTGTACTTGCTGCTGCTGTTGTCCCTGCTGTTGCTGCTGTTGTTGTTGTAGTTGTTGCTGCTGTTGTTGTCCTTGCTTCTGCTGCTGTGCAGTGTTACTGACAGCAGGCTGGATGGCTTCGTACGAGGGCTGCTGCGCATCAAACTTCCTCGCGTTCAGCATGCCTCCTCCCCCTCCCCCGCCTCCTCTCCCTCCCCTGCCCCCACCTTCTCTGCCTCCTCCCCCTCCCCCACCTCCTCCCCCTCGTATCTGGCGCTGCTGGCCCGGCGGCACGGCCCTCTGCTGAGAGTTGAGGTCGAGTCTCTCCTGGTCTTCTGCCAGCTTCCTCTGCTGCGCTAGCAGCTCCTCCGCCTGCCGCTCAAACAACCCCCTCCTCTCCTCCCCTGCGGGCTTCTCCCCCGCCCGCTCCTCCCCGCCGCCCGCCCGTCGACCGACGGGAGGAGGGTCGACTATCACGCGAACGTCTGCGGCGGCGGGTGCCTCCCGTCCGGCGGGAGGCTGCTGCGCTTTCTGATTGGTCGCGCTGGCCGTCGCCGCGGCGACCGGCAGAAGATTCTTCGGCGCGGCGACGGCGTCGTCGTCCCTGTATGGTATCGCGTGGTTCTTGCTCTTTAGATCGGACAGGAACTTCGCGACGATGGCCGACTTTTGGATGCGGGAGCCACTCTCCGTCAGGTCTCCTGGTGAAGTAAGTAATAAACAATTATTTAATTAATAATTAATTAATGAAAAAAATAATTAATTAATGATTAAACAGCAAGTCGAAACTGTCGCTTTGGTCAATATTATGGATTCACCTTTTTAGTACTTATTAATTAATAATTAATTAATTAAGAAGTAATAAAAAGGTCTTTAAAAAATTAATAATACACATAACAACACACAGATTACATCCCTCGGATTTTTCCCTAATGAAAAAGACCGTTTTCATCACAGTGTACACTGAGTCATAGGTGATAAAGATTAAAATAAATAAATAGATAAATAATATTAATTCGCAGCGACGTGACGAGACGACGCCGCGACGACATCGTTCGCTGCTTCTTCTCGCGTCCATCCGTCCGTCCGTCCGTCTGCGTCGCTCTTACCGTCCGCTGCTTCGCGATCCACCGCTCCGAGCTCTGCCTGTACTTCGGGAGGGAAGATGAGGCGTCGGATGAGACTGTCTGTGTCGGTGCTCACGCCCGCTGCTGCTGCGACCGGTTCTGCAGCGCTGTCCGCCACCAGCTGAGGACCCCTGTGTCATCGAGAAACAACGTGGATGAGTCGAGATACAAAGCGAGCAGGTGTTAACTTGTACGCGGCAGCCATCGTTGGTGGTACTGGTGGTGGTGGTGGTGGTGGTGGTGATGGTGGTGGTGGTGGTGGTGGTGA